TGGCAGCCATAGTTTTTGCCATGTTTTTCACCACTTTTCTAAGTACTTGTCTCCCAAAATGTGCTGAGCTGGAACCATAAGGTCTAGAGCTTCCAACATTTCCATACTTTGTGTCCAGGAACTATTCTGCATATTGAGTACAAAACGTGCAAACATGTGCCTTTGATGGACGCCATATTGAGTACAAAACGTGCAAACATGTGCCTTTGAAGGACACCATATTGAGTGCAAACATGTGCCTTTGATGGACGCCATATTGAGTGCTACTTCTGGCCCAAATTTTCTGTTTGCTAACAGTTTGATGAGACACAAAATGCAGATCCAGGAATGTAAGCTTTGTAACAAACTCATCTAAACTTACAGGATGTGCATTAGTTTTAGTTATAACGTTTTCAGCTAACAGCACGAATTTGTGAGTTAAAACAAATAAATAAATAACTTGCAATTGAGCGTTCAACCATTACTCTTATTCCTTTGAAGTTCTGTTTGCAACTATAGCTACAATGTGTATTAGTTCCTATCATTGTCAGTAGACACATTTACTACCCAATGCACATAGTACTGTCTGCCTATTCTATCGGACGGGGAATCCCGAAACACCTGTATCTGCATCTAAAATGTTTCATGAATGCACCAAGGGTGAGCGCTGAGTTCCCCCACACAGAAGAGATGTCTAAGACCACGGCAGGGTAGGGTGGCCAAGTGGTTGAAAGCCTTGGCTCCTCACACCCAAGTGTAAGAAGGCCATGTCTGGGGTCCCGTCAAGTAAAATTACTGGAATTTTGCAACAAGCATACTCACTGTGGCCACATTTATTCATACATACATAAAGGTGTTGTGTTGAATGCAACTGAGAGGTCAGGTAATATAGATGTGGTACAAAACACAAACACAGGTGATATTATTGATGCTTTTTATGTTTCATAGCAACATATGATATCATAATAACAATTATACAATTACTGAAGTCGGCCACCTTGCTTGCACCAAGCTGATGACACATGTGTACAAGACTGCTTCATGGGAGTTCTGGTGATCAAACACACGACTAGAAACACATTACATGGAAATATAAATAGCCAACCAAAAAGGTAAATTAACAAAAGTCATTGGAATTTTCTGTCATAAACTATTTTAACTATGAGCATTAAGTACACTACAGCCACTACATGGTCTGTGGCACTAAGTGAAGACCCTTCACGATCTCCTGGTTTGGCTACACATTGTCTGTGGCAACTAAGTGAAGACCCTTCACGATCTCCTGGTTTGGCTACACATTGTCTGTGGCAACGATCTCCTGGTTTGGCTACACATTGTCTGTGGCACTAAGTGAAGACCCTTCACGATCTCCTGGTTTGGCTACACATTGTCTGTGGCAACTAAGTGAAGACCCTTCACGATCTCCTGGTTTGGCTACACATTGTCTGTGGCAACTAAGTGAAGACCCTTCACGATCTCCTGGTTTGGCTACACATTGTCTGTGGCAACTAAGTGAAGACCCTTCACGATCTCCTGGTTTGGCTACACATTGTCTGTGGCAACTAAGTGAAGACCCTTCACGATCTCCTGGTTTGGCTACACATTGTCTCACTTATCTTAAACAAAGGACTTCAGCTGTACCAGCACTGGCTTGTCGGTCACTACCTGCCAATCAGACGTGTGAATAGCGCAGCTCAGGGGATGCTGAAAACTGCAGGACCAGTGGAATCCGGATGTTTCTAGGGTGTATAGGATGTGAACAAACCAATTATGTCTTCATAGATGTAAACAACTCAAGTAAATTCCTACCATCAAACAGAAATGAACAGACACTGAACAACCCTGGATAATCCCTACTGATTGCATTCATCCCCTTGATAAACAGATAAATGTTCTTTTGTTAGGAATCAACAGGTTCAAAATTGTAAAATATGCTTCATTCTATTACTCAGGTAATAAAAACGTTTGTTTAAACTTATTTAGGCAAAGGTATTTAGTGGTGAATTAGCAGAGTGTAAAATTCAGTATTTCTTTCTAGACAAGCAGCATCAGCGGCAGAAACGTCACATGACTTGGGAAACAGCAGAGTTGCCTGTCCCTATTATACATAAGCATTATTATTTCAAATATGAAAGAACCAGGGAATAAATACACAATCACCATTCATCATCAATTTGCATCGGAAAAGGTAAAAAATGTGAAAATGATTACACTGAAATGTAAAATGTTTTTTCTCATTACGCATGGTGGAATCGAGTTGTTGTATTTACAGGAAACAGGATGAACAGCCTACTTGACAGCAAGCCAGGACTACAGGGAATAACTGGACAGCACACCACTTGGCTACAACTGCCTATGTTCATGGATTACTCTACTATCTATTGCAATGGTTTTATTCACATGTTATACTGAATGAATAACTCACTGAGACTACACATTAGACCCCTTATTGTGGTAGCGTATCACATCTTTCCACATGCTGACCTACTGCTAGCTTATGGTCACCACAGTCTGGCACATCTGTGGTGACTACTGTACAGGCATATGCCTCTTGTATTAACAGGTAGACTCGTACTCCACTCCGTTTGTACATCTGGAGTATACCATCATGGTGTACTCCTTGACTTAGCTTGTAAGATGTTAGAATAGAATAACCTCAGTTTACATGTGACTCCCTTCATACATTTTCTATTCAAGCTTACAAATAAGAGCTTGGCATCTGCACAATTAGGCAGCTGGACAAATTCTTTAATCTGCTTGGGTGCTTATTTTATATGTGATAGTAAAGTTACTCTCACTTTCAGTCTGGCCAAATATCTGGAAAATGAAAGGAAACATGTCCTGTTTTCTCCTGTTTCAAGAGAACTCTGGACCATCAGGGTGGAGCCATCAGGACTGAGACGACCTTCCACATTGCTGCAGCACTATTGTCAAGCATTGTCCTTTGTTCTGCAGCAGGTGCTGAATCATCCAACATATCTACACAGTAGACTGCAGACCTGGCCATGCTGCAACTCCATGGGCAGATTGGGAGAGACACAAGCTTGTTGGCTGGGACATCCACATGTATCCATGTTGAGGGGCCAGATCCTGCATTCAGCTACACTAGACATCCATGCTGGGGCCATGTCTACTAGCATCACAGACAAGGGCGAGGAGGCATTGGCTAGGAAATCACTTTCATGGTATCACTCTGCAACAATGATGGATGCACGACTCAGTCTCACACAAGTCACAGAACTCAACATCAAAAACTTTAGACATGTCACAGTCATTATCACCACAATCAAGTCACAAACATTAATGTGACAATATTCACACGATAGTTGGGCATTGATGGTTCCTGGGTCTGCTGGCACCACCTAATAACCACCACAGCTCCACATGACATAGACTGTTATTGGTGTGCCTAGGTCACATGTTATTATGTTGGTACTTAGTTTTCATACTCACAGCTTTGCTATTTGTACACCTGGCATGTACTGCGCTAAGGTGTGTTTATCATATCTCAGTATCTTATATAGTATGACCAGAAATTATTGAGAATTTTAGGAAAATGTTTTATTGGATTTCTAGTATAAACAACCCCTTGACCAGCTATCAAGTGCGTGGTTTCATTCAAGAGAGACAACTCTGTTAATCCTCTTTCATTAGTTTGTGAAGAGTTATCCCCCTTTGTTAACTTGCTAGCAGACGATATTTTCAGTGATCCTCAGTATGGATGATTTAGAGAAGAGGAAGTTTGATTTTAGAGTATTATAACAAGGACATCAGATCAGCTAAAGTGATTTCAAGTAGAACAGGCATCCCTTTGTCCACTGTTTATCGTGTTTTTGAAAAATATTGCAAATGGATATGGCATTGAGCACCAGGGAGGCGCAGGTAGGCCCAGAAAATTGACTGTCGGTGACAGGAGGCGGCTTGGTATTCTTGTTTCTAAAAACAAACAAAGGTGTTTAGAAAACTTAAGGCTATATATGATTGATAGAGGGACTGTGGCTGGCTGTAAGGAGACAATTTGAACTGAGCTGCATGCAATGGGTTGGCAGAAAAGTCGAGGAATTCCATCACCGATCATGAAACCTGAACAAACGGAGCGAAGGTTGACCTGGTGCTTACAGCATAGAAATTTTAACTGGGACAATGTGATTTCTCAGATGAAAGTTCTGTGTGGCTGTTTCCTAATACACTGAAATTCTGGACCAAACAAACAGAAAAAGCTTTGTATCAGCGCCCAAAGTACTGTCCGCAATTTAATGTGTGGGGTGGCATATCTTTGTTAGGGGCAACGCCCCTCTGTGTATTTGAAGGGAATATAAACAGTGAGCGGTACACCGATATTCTCGAGGGACATTTACTTCCATCTGCTCACGTGTTCTATGGAAATTTTTGGATTTTCCAGCAGGACGACGACCCAAAACATCGTTCAAAGCATTCACAGGCCTGGTTTCGGACCCAAAATATGACATTATTAGATTGGCCAAGCTATAGCCCTGACCTAAATCCAAAAGAAAATGTTTGGGGACTTATGAAGGAAAGTGTCAATAAGAAAAATCTGACAAATAATGCTGAAATGAAAGAAGAGGTGGTCCGATATTGGGACAGCATGGACCACGACTTTCTAACTTCTTTGATCAGTAGTATGCCCCGCCGCATTGAAGCCTGCATTGCTCCCCATGGTGACTGGATACAAATACTAACTGTTCACCTGTCTTTGAATCTGGCGTTATGTTCTGCTAATATTCACATTTAATACTTGAGTAATGAGTGAATTTTTTAAAAAATAATTACAATCTTAAATTCTCAATAATTTCTGGTTGTACTGTACATTGTCATCTTATACTGCTGTATCATGTTTCATCAAAGGCAGCAAAAGCAGCAACAAATTGGTACCTGGTGTCGTCGCCGCTCGATGAAGTCACACAACCGAGCGGTGGCAATAGGTTTTGGACGCTTTCGAGGCTTTCTTAATCCAGGCACATTCTATACACGTCTGAGCAGAGGGGCGCTTGCTGAAAACATAGCAATCTAACTGAATGACATTATACTGTACGTAACACTACAGAGATATACTTCCCAGACTAGGTGCACTGACCGTGGTGTGTAGGTAACACTACAGAGATATACTTCCCAGACTAGGTGCACTGACCGTGCTGAAAACATAGCAATCTAGGTAACACTACAGAGATATACTTCCCAGACTAGGTGCACTGACAGTGTACTGTAGGTAACACTACAGAGATATACTTCCCAGACTAGGTGCACTGACAGTGTACTGTAGGTAACACTACAGAGATATACTTCCCAGACTAGGTGCACTGACCGTGTACTGTAGGTAACACTACAGAGATATACTTCCCAGACTAGGTGCACTGACAGTGTACTGTAGGTAACACTACAGAGATATACTTCCCAGACTAGGTGCACTGACCTGTAGGTACTACAGAGATATACTTCCCAGACTAGGTGCACTGACCGTGGTGTGTAGGTAACACTACAGAGATATACTTCCCAGACTAGGTGCACTGACCGTGGTGTGTAGGTAACACTACAGAGATATACTTCCCAGACTAGGTGCACTGACCGTGTACTGTAGGTAACACTACAGAGATATACTTCCCAGACTAGGTGCACTGACAGTGTACTGTAGGTAACACTACAGAGATATACTTCCCAGACTAGGTGCACTGACAGTGTACTGTAGGTAACACTACAGAGATATACTTCCCAGACTAGGTGCACTGACAGTGTACTGTAGGTAACACTACAGAGATATACTTCCCAGACTAGGTGCACTGACCGTGGTGTGTAGGTAACACTACAGAGATATACTTCCCAGACTAGGTGCACTGACCGTGTACTGTAGGTAACACTACAGAGATATACTTCCCAGACTAGGTGCACTGACAGTGTACTGTAGGTAACACTACAGAGATATACTTCCCAGACTAGGTGCACTGACCGTGGTGTGTAGGTAACACTACAGAGATATACTTCCCAGACTAGGTGCACTGACCGTGGTGTGTGTAGGTAACACTACAGAGATATACTTCCCAGACTAGGTGCACTGACGGTGGTGTGTAGGTAACACTACAGAGATATACTTCCCAGACTAGGTGCACTGACCGTGGTGTGTAGGTAACACTACAGAGATATACTTCCCAGACTAGGTGCACTGACAGTGTACTGTAGGTAACACTACAGAGATATACTTCCCAGACTAGGTGCACTGACCGTGGTGTGTAGGTAACACTACAGAGATATACTTCCCAGACTAGGTGCACTGACCGTGGTGTGTAGGTAACACTACAGAGATATACTTCCCAGACTAGGTGCACTGACCGTGGTGTGTAGGTAACACTACAGAGATATACTTCCCAGACTAGGTGCACTGACAGTGTACTGTAGGTAACACTACAGAGATATACTTCCCAGACTAGGTGCACTGACCGTGGTGTGTAGGTAACACTACAGAGATATACTTCCCAGACTAGGTGCACTGACAGTGTACTGTAGGTAACACTACAGAGATATACTTCCCAGACTAGGTACACTGACCGTGGTGTGTAGGTAACACTACAGAGATATACTTCCCAGACTAGGTGCACTGACCGTGGTGTGTAGGTAACACTACAGAGATATACTTCCCAGACTAGGTGCACTGACCGTGGTGTGTAGGTAACACTACAGAGATATACTTCCCAGACTAGGTGCACTGACAGTGGTGTGTAGAGTAACACTACAGAGATATACTTCCCAGACTAGGTGCACTGACCGTGGTGTGTAGGTAACACTACAGAGATATACTTCCCAGACTAGGTGCACTGACAGTGTACTGTAGGTAACACTACAGAGATATACTTCCCAGACTAGGTGCACTGACAGTGTACTGTAGGTAACACTACAGAGATATACTTCCCAGACTAGGTGCACTGACCGTGGTGTGTAGGTAACACTACAGAGATATACTTCCCAGACTAGGTGCACTGACAGTGTACTGTAGGTAACACTACAGAGATATACTTCCCAGACTAGGTGCACTGACAGTGTACTGTAGGTAACACTACAGAGATATACTTCCCAGACTAGGTACACTGACCTTGGTGTGTAGGTAACACTACAGAGATATACTTCCCAGACTAGGTACACTGACCGTGGTGTGTAGGTAACACTACAGAGATATACTTCCCAGACTAGGTGCACTGACCGTGGTGTGTAGGTAACACTACAGAGATATACTTCCCAGACTAGGTGCACTGACCGTGGTGTGTAGGTAACACTACAGAGATATACTTCCCAGACTAGGTGCACTGACCGTGGTGTGTAGGTAACACTACAGAGATATACTTCCCAGACTAGGTGCACTGACCGTGGTGTGTGTGATACAAGTGATACATACTACTTCAGCTTCATCAACAGTCTAAGTAAACTTAGGTTCAGCATTATTTGTTACACTGCTATACTGAGTCTAACAAAACCAAGTAGAAGGTCGCGTCAGCTAACCTTTTGCACTGACCAATCAGAACACAGCTCACCAAATCGCAAAAGTTATCATTCGCACATACCGTTTGAACCATTACCTCAAAAACTCGAACGATTCCGAAAGCTATTTTCCGCACGATCGCTTCCGAGTGATACACTCAATGAGTAAACAGTCACTGAAAATAGCGTTTTTGTTAAACTTAAAGGATGTCATCTTGCGAAAATATAAGCAATTAGTAACCATGTCATTAGAAACCCATAAGCTGTTTTGTAAGTCCCGCCGAACCCTAACAAGTAGTCAATGTCTGATTGGTTAAATCTGTTCGGCTGTCTCGTGTTTGATTGGATGGTCATAGGTCACTCAAAGGTTAGCTGACCCGACCTTCTACCAGGTTTTGTTAGACTCAATAGCAGTGTAACGAATAATATTGAGCGTAAGTTACTTTTACCTGACACATACTTCACTTTTACCTGACACATACATCTCTTTTACCTGACACATACATCACTTTTACCTGACACATACATCACTATTACCTGACACATACATCTCTTTTAGCAGCCATCTTACAAGAAATCAGACAAACCTACATGGAATCATAGAGGGATTAAATTTACAGCGAAAAACAAATACTTTGTGATGAATTTTTTAAAATAATAATATCTAGTAAACAACTAGTTTTCCTCAGGTATTGTTGAGTGAAAATCAAGATACTTGACTTGTATTACCAAAACAAGCAACTATAATTGACATGTATCTATGTATCCTACACATCTTCCAGGGTGTTCAATATGATCTGTTGTTTGTTGGAACAAATCTCTGTAATCTATCTATGTATCCTACACATCTTCCAGGGTATTCAATATGATCTGTTGTTTGGAACAAATCTCTGTAATCTACTATTTTTCATGATCATTTGTATGAGAACTGTTTGAGTGAGAATCTTGTAAGAAAAAGATAAATAAATTTCCACATGTGAAGACTCCTAGTACTAAATGCTGTGATGATGTGGAAACTGAGTAACAGATTGCTGGATAAGTGCATGCTAGACTTTCATTTGGTATATTTCTAAAACATATTGACGGAAAATAATATATGAAATGTTACACTAAAACCCATGGTAGTATTTAGCGCTTAGATTTACAAACTGCAACAGTTGAGAACTTCAGATATATCACAAAGGCTGATAATTAAAAGTGAGTCTGCATGATGTAACGGATGTGGTATTGCTCAAACTGACACAAGGCCTTGTTTTCACAGGTAGGGAATGCTCTGATCATATATATCGCTTTTCGTGGATTTTCCTCTGTTATGGAAAAAACGAACAAATAAAGCTTTTCTAACAACCATTTACTACATAATGTGCTTTTTAACATTATTCAGAAGTAAGTGACTTTTAAAGGGCCACTGATCCAGAGCAATTAATGTTTCCAGCCAACAGTCTAATTACGAAACCTAGCTGCAAACTGGTCAGCCCCTGCTCCCTCGACCGTGACGGACACGGGGACTGGGCTACTGCTCCCTCGACCGTGACGGACACGGGGACTGGGCTACTGTCCACCCTGGCAGAATTTCTTCAACCTAATCAGTGGGACATTAGGAAGGGTGGATGCCTATCAGATGCCTTATTTGAAAATATCCCCCGGTAGTTCTTGTCTGATTGTAATAAAGTATCCCAGCAGTGTAGGCTTTTACAGATTTTCAAATGTTGCGATGGTATAGTGACTGGTCCAATTTGATCCTATTTCTGTCTTTTTTTACTTAAACAATGATATCAAAACACACATTTGATGTTATTTGAATCCATAAACTAAACAACCCCACTTTGCCATTGCAAAAAAAAAAATCTGATATACATAGGTATATACAGTTTTTAACTAAGTACACAGCAAATGCTTATATATATTTCTTATGTAACAATGAAGTTCCGTTCGTATCCTCAAAACAGTGTCGGCCCATAAGTTGTTTTTTCAGGCAATCAAACTTGCATGCAATACAGCCATTACTACTCTCTTGCTGTAACCCTTGTATGGTGGTAAATCTACACGTTATTTGTCATCATTCACTTGATGGTCAGTTAATGAATTTATAACAGGTATAATTAGTGATAACACCACTCAGATTACCGTCAAAGGTTCCCATTTGGCATTTCTTGTGTCTGGAGTAAATACTCATCATTATAAATTGAGGTCTGATGTGACAAATGTATTACATCTTATGTAATATGGGCATGAAAGTGTAGTAAGAGGAATTATCAGCTGAGTTACAAAACAAACATCGATCAAAGGATTAACCGATAACACGCTGATTGATTAATTGCTTTTATCCTGCACAGCGGATTTGTCAAAAGGCAGTGTTTATGTATGTAGATTTACTAATCTATACTGAATACACCCTGTCATAAAGTCTCTTTGTAAAAACAACGTCCTTCCTTCAAAGGATTAACTGCCAATACATTGATTGATTGCTCATTATTGGCTAACTAAATTACTTTTTTAAAGAATGTCGGACATCATGCAATTAGTTGCCAGGTGTGTTATCTTGGGTGACCAATGGGACTATACACCAATGTGAAAAAGCTGAAACGATAGATCACTTTTTCGCATATTAGACTGTTAAAAGACACATGACATGGAACCGGATACTTTGTCAGCTGCAGATGCATGGCATCTCATTCCTTTATTTGGATATTGATGGATACATTCCCCGAACAACGTAATAGCCTGATATTGTTGCTATAACTTTAGTATGTTTTAATTTTAAAATTTGCATTTTGTTTACATTTATTTGTTATGGCATTCAACAGAATCATTTATTTTGGTCGAGAAGTGTAATGATACAGACAACATACACTAGGTCGCACTTAGGGCGTGTGTGTGAAATATGATACACGTTGGCAATGTATAAGATGTGTAGATATTACAGTCAAGTTATAAATTCACTAAGTATAAGCAGATCGTGTGCATTTGATTAAGTTTCAAACTGCATACAAATATGATAATAAACTAATCAGGATTATGAGACAAAATATAAAGACGTACATTGACTTTGCTATTTCCGTCCTAACAATTTTTACCACTGGAAGACGGTTAAACTTAAAATGTTTTCATTTGTTATAAAAATAATGCCATTTAATACAACATTCAGATTGACTAGTAGTGTACCTGAGCTCACTACTCTCCCCAGAAGATTCCCCGTGTACTTACTTATAATTAGCCTTACTTTCAAAACAATGCTATTATATCAATCTTCTCACCAAATTCAAGGTCAAACTATTTCTTAAATCAAATTCTACATCCATTTAAGTCAACATTACTATGAAATCAAACATTACATCAAAATCAGCATCAGTGAATATTTTTTTTATAATAAACCAAATTATTCACCAAAGTCTACATAATTTACAACAAAATCAACATAAGATTATCGAGTAAAAAAGATTTGGTATTTGTGGATCAGTCTATACTTATGCTATCAACTACACATGAGGGTGGCACACCAGAGGTAACAAACCAGTCATGAATTCTGGGATATCATCTGGGTACTCACTGGAGAATAACAATAACAAAAGCAACAACCAGTCCAAAGAGATTGCTCTGGATCAGTGCCCCTTTAAAGAAGGTGCCACACAGGAACATTTGAGCTTGGGCTCTATCTTTACATGTCAAGCATTGTTGCATGGAACACTGAGCCAGGAACAAGATAGGGAATAAGAATTTGGACTTAATCATTTCAAATAGAGATGTATCCCACTTTGGAACATAAAGGTTGCCTGGTAAACAGACTACATTCCACCAAATAATAGGGATGCAAACATATGGAGAAGTGCAACTGATGGTCAAAGGGAGATAATCCTCCAGTGGAAACCCTGTGACAGTAGGCATGATGAAGCATCCCTCCTGTCATGATGACCTGGTGTTTTAATACTTGCAGTTCAGGCAAGTGTCATGTGGTAACTGTCACATCTTGAAGTGTATCATCCATGAAGTGAAATATTTATAATACTACTCACCCAATACAACTGAACAGGTTAACTTTCATTGTGAAAATATCCCAAAGTGTAGAAAACTACTAGTATTCTGTTTGCATGTTCATTCTTTGTTTACAACCATTTTGCTGTTAAAGATCACATATAACCTAGGGGGGGTACAAATGCATAAATCATTTAATGGCATCGTTATAAATCAAACCCGTCATCAAAACTACTCATTTCGACCCTTTAAATCGACCTTTTTGACAACACTGCACAATTCTCTCCCGAGGATGAAATTTCAACCAATTAGCGGAGCGTGCCTCCATGATGTAATGTGAGGTATTGATATGAGGGACACTGTAGAATTCATGTACATTTGCGGGGGTAAATTATCTTGTTTACAGGTTTGTCTAAAGCTGAAATCGTGATAATTGTTGTGAAAAATGAAAGCTTTATGTTTTCTCAATCCACTGTCATTTAATCTTGTTACCTGCTTTGCCTAGCTTCCGGTTACAACTTGTTTTCATAGACGATTCTGTCAAAATTGCTTATTGTCATAACTGTTACCTGGTGGCTAGGTCTGGCTTTGTTCCCCAATTTACTCGGGTGTTAAACCATTTATGTCAAGTGATTTCAATATGGTTAATTCAGTGGGTTGGCATTTTGGTACAAAGCAGACTCTAACATGTCGGGAAGTAATTCAGACAGTGACAATCTTTCCATTGAATTTTCAATGAAGAAACAATCGCTTGGCCTTATTTGTTCGAGGCAGACGCTAGAGATAGTGAAAACGATGTTCAGCCTCACGATCGACTAGTATCTACATACTGGTGAGTGGGCGTTAACCATGTGAATGTAGCAAGAAATTTAATGCACAATATTGTCACTTCGACTCCCACCTCGCTTCCCTGGAAGAAATCGCTATGTTACAAGTTGCGTCATGCAAAATCCTTTTCGTCATGATTCAAATACATATTTAACTAAGAGTAGAAAGTAGTTTTGATTTTCTGACTTGATGAAAACAAACCATAATCTCATTTATTCTCGAACACACTTTTGCCCGTGACGTACGAATTTTAACAATGGCGGGGTCCTGTTACGAACATCCGACAGTCCGAGAATAAATGCTATTTAGGTTTGTTTTCACCGAGTCACAAAATCAAAACTACTTTGTACTGGTAGTAAAATATGTATTTGATTGATGGCCAATAGGATTTTGCATGACATAGCTTATAACACAAGCATTGTCACTAAGATGACCATATCCCCCGCCACAAATTATCAAATCAAACTTATAAAGTAATGAAAGTTTAAGTTAAATGTCAATAAAAACATGACCAGTCAACCTCTCTTGATATCTTGCTCTTTAGGTGTTCAAACACACACATATTTTCAAGACTGACTTTGACCTTGACATGAATGTCATAGTGTATGAAATATGCAAGAATAGTACGAAAGAAATTGCTTATTGAAAAACATTTAAGGGAAGTCTTGAAAGTCTGAAGAAAATGCAGTGAACCGTTCTTAAAATATCTTGCTGACAATTCAGGTTAACATCAGTGTAGGAAAGATGTAGAAAATCTAGCCTGTCCACAAGACTGGCAGGTCAAATTTTTTACCAGTCCTGCCAAAATCTAGCCTGTCCTCCAAATATAAATAAAACACCTTCGGCAGTAAATATTCAAAAAGGTTATAATCATTATATATATGTCATTGGTTTGCTAAAATTGACCCGACATGACGGACTAGATATTTTTTTAACCTGTCCTCGACAAAATTCACCCGTCTCGGACGTTGGGACGGGCTATCTTTCCTACACTGTTAACATGCTGAAATCTTCAAAGTGATGGGGGGATGAACCTAGGTACCAAATATGAAAAGAATCTAGAGAACAGTTCTTAAGATATTCCAATTCGTACGGACAGACTGAGCCTAATACCATATCCCCCGCTTCGCGCTAAATGCACGGCGGGAGATAATAACAGTTACTCTCTTGGAAGCGAGGTGGGTGTCAATATAATACTACTTACAATATTATTGTCACTTCGAACACAACCTCGCTTCCGAGGAAGATATTGTTATATTACAAATGTGTCATGCAAAATCCTTTTGGTCATCAATCATATACATATTTTACTACAACTGGTAAATAGTTTTGATTTGTTTTACTTGATGAAAACGTCGAGAAATCAGGAAAATGACGAGCGTGTTACACACTTTATATACAACTAACTGAAAATCCTTCCTCACACTACTTCACTTCCGGTTCACTGCAGTGCTCTGGCAACAGAGCTACGTAACCTCTTGGCGGGCGAGAGTGAAGCAGGCGGCTTTTTGGCAACTTGTAGTCGCTTGGTATTAATTAACTGCAAGTTTTTTAAGAATGAATTTGGTGTTCCGCTGAAGACTAACCACAAGTCTTTCATATTTAATGGTTAAAATGAACAAACAAAAAAGGCCACTATGATGTGTGTGTGTTAAATTGCTTTCGTACATATCGTACATATGCGTGGGGGTGGGGATGTTTATGAACCGGTCCCTAAGGCTGTTCTTTTCTTTTCATACTCCTGGACATCATAGAACAATAGAAGAATATCTTTTCAATTGTGCAAAACAATCTGTAAATCACATTTAAAGCCTTACAACAGTAAAAGTGTGTTTGCGAAGAAAATAGGTGATAGGTTCCTACTTGTGTTAGCACTGAGATGAGGTTTTACTCGCATTCCTTCATTATTTCCAGTTAGAGAAGGAGTAGCTTACTCTTTACTCTAACATTGGGTTGATGAGTAGGAAGACTTCTTCCAAGTCTATGAATGCTGTAGCGAATGTATACCTGAGTTCTTCCACAAGCATGGTCCGGATCAGGTCCTTGGCATCCTGGGAGATGCCCGCGAAGTACTCATCGGGAAGCAGTAGTCATTACGGACAATGTTAGAGCATGTTTCCTCCTGACTCTCATCCAGGAAAGGGGACACCCCGCTGAGCAGAACGTACACGATGATGCCGATACTCCTGCAAACAAGAGATGCCATCAACACTTCCACCTGATCATGAACACTTCCACTCAACCATGAACACTTCCACCTGATCATGAACACTTCCACTCAACCATGAACACTTCCACCTGATCATGAACACTTCCACTCAACCATGAACACTTCTATCTGATCATGAACACTTCCACTCAACCATGAACACTTCCACTACAGAAAGTAACACACACTAACCTGACTGATGTACAATCACTTCCAGTTTCATTCAAATATGGTGTTACAATGTAAACTTACCATAGTATACTGGACAAGAGTCTAACACATGAATTCCCTCTCATGCTGTTATGTCCTGTTCACTGGCAACTTATCTAGATAGTTTTGTGGTAAACCTTATACTCCAGCATAATGCAACTGCACCAAATATGGTGTTACAATGTAAACTTACCATAGTTTACTGGACAAGAGTCTAACACATGAATTCCCTCTCATGCTGTTATGTCCTGTTCACTGGCAACTTATCTAGATAGTTTTGTGGTAAACCTTATACTCCAGCATAATGCAACTGCACCTGCCCCAGGTAGAAACACATCACTTGTTCCCAAGTAACTTCCATTGACAAGATGAAAGCCAGATTGGAGAGGTGCGAGGAATTAATTCCTGATGTACAATTAGACACTGATAGGTATTGTTTGATCATTCCATTGCCTACCTCACCTCTATTACATCATATCCAGTTTTTACCAGAGGGACCAAGTGTCTAGAACCCCCTCTGGCAGCAGTGAAGTAGGAATGTTTACTATAAGATGAAACATAGAAGCTGTATTTCCTGGTTCTACATTAGTCAAACTCTAGTTTGTCATGTATGGTGTCATGTACTGTTCTGTGATGACACATATCTCACCTCAGGAAATGATTTTTATACAAATCCATCTTTATGTTAATCAACAGGTGAACCTATAATTAGCTGGCTGAAGGGAGGCTTCACATGTTATATGCCAGCCATAAAGCAGTTACTGTACACCAAGGTGTGTTGATGATCTGATAAACATTTCTCTCAAGTGCATTTCCCCACTAATCTTTGGACTTCATGATTTATGTGCACTCCTCCCTCTCTTCCCCTCAAATTCTGGATCCCCCAATGTTGTGTGCTATCATATCCAAAAGTTGAGATCAGCAAGTATTTTGGGCGCACACGGGATTTCCTGCCTTGCACATGTGCAGTTACATGCATTAAAGGCACACAGATGGCGTGTGGCCTAATTGCCCTGTCAAAGCTGTCTTTCGATGTAAAGCAATGCAGTATTCAAGTACATTCCATGAAATATCACACAATTGACATACCAGTTCATGATGAAATTAATCCACAGTGTAAAGAAGTATGTTGTGAAGGCTCACACAGATTTGAATTTCCCACTGTTTGAATTTCCCACTGTGTCAGTCAGGTGGCCAGAGGAAGTGTGTTTCCATAGAAACAAGCGTTGGAATGGGGAAATGGTTCGTTCAGGGTTTTATATTTCAGGCAGGCTGCGAAAATGATCCCCTACCCATTCCCCTGACCCCAAGCTGTGCAGGGTTAGGGCTGTACATGTATTTGATGCTGAGATCATCATATTGAAGATTTTATTTTCAGAAAATAAGTAAAATTTGAAATTTCATATATGCTAATCAAAGAGCCTTTGAGATCGCCAGGCTCTTGCCAGGCACCTGTTACATTCCTGTCACTCACGGGCAGATAATATCTACACTGCTGAGGGGTAGCAAATGGAAGACTAACTGGAAACCCACAGGGCTTTTGGAGGTTTGCGCGCACGCATGCACGCGCACGCATGTACACACACACACACACACACACACGACCTTTAAAGGTTAGTCTCCCATTTGCTACCCCTCAGCAGTGTAGATGTTATCTGCCCGTGAGTGACAAGACTGTAAGGGCTATGGGTGCCTGGCAAGAGCCTGGCGATGTCAAAGGTTAACCTTGAAATTTACTACTGGAATAAACATGTGCCTTATAGTAAATTACCAACAACCCTTTCACTTCATATTTTGATGACTAAAGAGATTAATTGGATTAGCATATATGAAACATCAAATTTTACCTATATTCTGAATATAAAATCTTCAGCAAAGAGATGTCAGCATCAGATAGTGGACAACCCTAGCCCTGCACAGCATGGCATCAGGGAAGGGGGGAGTGGGGGAGGGGGGCATTTTCCCAGTCTGCCTGAAACATGAAACCCTAGAGGAACCATTTCCCCACTCCAAGGCTTGTTTCTATGGAAACACACTTCCTCTGGCCACCTGACTGACACAGTGGGAAATTCAAATCTGAATAGTATGTTTTGTCGGCTGTCTGCATCCATACTTTTTGCTGTGAGTCTTCACAACGTACCTCTTTACACTGTGGCTTAATATCAGCCTGAACCGATGAGTCAGTTTTGAGATATTTCATGGAATGTACTTGAATACTACATTGCTTTGCATCTAAGGACAGCTTTGACAAGGCAAGGAGCACACCCCATCTGTGTATAGGTTTGAACCCCCGGCCTTAAAGGCTGCCGATGAGGTTTGTTTCATAATTAAACTGATGAAAGTAAACTGACCAGATATCAGTGAGGAGGCCCACTGGAGTTCCACTGATCAACTCTGGACTCATGAATTCAGTGTTGCCCATGATGGGGTGGATATAGTAGTTGTTGTAGATGTGTCGGGCGTCACCAAAGTCAGTCAGCTTGAGACCAGTTCCCATTGCGCCAACTTCCACCAGAAGGTTCTCAGGCTGGATGACATGAACAGGTAACAATTCATAACACAGTAATAACACTGACAGGAGAAGAGCACACAACAAGGAAAAACACTCTACAATATCAGAATAACACTGAATATACCATTCATATAACATAACTCATAATATGGGAATGACATTCGCAGTTGGGGATGTACATTTTCTGATGTGCAGATGTGAGATGTGGCAGCTGAGGAGGTATGTACCCTCATGTCCTGGTGTGGGACATGGAGGTTTGTACCCTAATGTCCTGGTGTGGGACGTGGAGGTGTGTACCCTAATGTCCTGGTGTGGGACGTGAAGGTATGTACCCTAATGTCCTGGTGTGGGACGTGGAGGTATGTACCCTCATGTCCTGGTGTGGGACGTGGAGGTATGTACCCTCATGTCCTGGTGTGGGACGTGGAGGTATGTACCCTAATGTCCTGGTGTGGGACATGGAGGTATTTACCCTAATGTCCTGGTGTGGGACGTGAAGGTGTGTACCCTAATGTCCTGGTGTGGGACGTGGAGGTGTTTACCCTAATGTCCTGGTGTGGGACGTGGAGGTATTTACCCTAATGTCCTGGTGTGGGAAGTGGAGGTATTTACCCTAATGACCTGGTGTGGGACATGGAGGTATGTACCCTAATGACCTGGTGTGGGACATGGAGGTATGTACCCTAATGTCCTGGTGTTGGACGTGAAGGTATGTACCCTCATGTCCTGGTGTGGGACGATGGAGGTGTGTACCCATATGTCCTGGTGTGGGACGTGAAGGTGTGTACCCTAATGTCCTGGTGTGGGATGTGTTGCAGTTGTGGAGGTATGTACCCTAATGTCCTGGTGTGGGATGTGTTGCAGGTGTGGAGGTATGTACCCTAATGTTCTGGTGTGGGATGTGGAGGTATGTACCCTAATGTCCTGGTGTGGGATGTGTTGCAGTTGTGGAGGTATGTACCCTAATGTCCTGGTGTGGGATGTGTTGCAGTTGTGGAGGTATGTGTCCTGGTGTGGGATGTGTTGCAGGTATGTCCTGGTGTGGGATGTGTTGCAGGTGTGGAGGTATGTACCCTAATGTCCTGGTGTGGGACGTGGAGGTATGTACCCTAATGTCCTGGTGTGGGATGTGTTGCAGTTGTGGAGGTATGTACCCTAATGTCCTGGTGTGGGACGTTTTGCAGTTGTGGAGGTATGTACCCTAATGTCCTGGTGTGGGACGTTTTGCAGTTGTGGAGGTATGTACCCTAATGTCCTGGTGTGGGACGTTTTGCAGTTGTGGAGGTGTGTACCCTTATGTCCTGGTGTGGGATGTGGAGGTATGTACCCTAATGTCCTGGTGTGGGATGTGGAGGTATGTACCCTAACAGTGTTCACGAATAGCGTCTGACCCTCTGACAAATCCGGCAGATTCGCCAACGGTCAGACAGAAGTCTACAACCCGCCGGCCCCAGTGTCTGACTGTATATTTCAAAATGACTTTGACTGAAGTTGTTTTATGTGACATGTGACACTTGTTTGCTGTTTATAAATCTTATGTTTGTTAATAATTTCAATGTCAATATTAAGAAATATTAAATCTGAAATGTGTGTTTAATTTTATTCCACGAGTCCTGCGCATTTTCAATGGGTCAGACAGACATCTGAAACTTACAGGACCCAGTGTCCTTGTCCTGTGGCTTTGAAACACCATTCGTGAACACTGCCCTAATGTCCTGGTGTGGGATGTGGAGGTATGTACCCTAATGTCCTGGTGTGGGACGTGTTGCAGGTGTGGAGGTAAGTCAATGTGCAGATGTATGTACCTTAATGTCGAGGTGTGCGATGCGGCAGTTGTGGAGGTACTGCACTACGTCCAGAAGTTGTCTCATGTACTCCGCTGCCTGGATCTCGTCAAAGTGAGGCTTGCTGCAGATGTACTCCAGCAAGCGTCCATGAGGCAGCCTGTCACACAAATACCATTGTCATATAACCAATTTCCAGCATATAAAACAAAACAAAATGGCAAGAAAGCCATCAACTTAAAACTTTTTTGTTTTTGTAATAAATATCATAGTTGTGTGTCTCTGCTACCCAGACACCCAGGGGAGTGCTGGGCCAAAACCGTATTCACAAAAGATAGGCATCCTTAAGAGAAACAAGCAAGATGATACCTGAGTTGAAAAGGCAATTGTTTTATACATATAAATTCTGTTACTGAGGATCATAATAAAGGTACAATGTTGTGGAATCATTTTTTTAAAACAAAATTTAACAATCACAGAGACACTCATTCACACTGAGATTCACTCACATTCTCCACTAAACCATAAAAAAAGATTTAACATACACACCTCAAAGCAAAAAACTTAAGTAAATTAATGAAGAATGGTTGTACTCATGAAATCAAGATTACTGAACTTCTCGACATATCTACATTAGCTAGTTCATGGTACAATATCCACTTTGTATAGATATTAGTTGGTTGGGTTTTGCTACAAGCAAACATTCCTTCAATCATATACCTGTTGTGGATATAATGTTTAAAGTGATTAAAATTTAGGGTTGTTTCAAAACTACATTTATAGATAAAAAATTTAGCTGAAAGCAACAGTAGGTCAAACACATCATCAGTACATATATATATATATATATATATATTGTCCTTCAGATCAAACAGAATACGTTGAAGGTCAAATTACCAAAATAAGTAGGTTGATAAATTACTGTCAATAATTCTCTCAATTTGGTATCTAAAGTCGTTTTAAGTGGTTTTACAATATTTTTTTTTTTTTCATCACTTTATTTCTTTTTGATCTGGGTACAGCATATCATGCAAGTCAGCATATTTGTTGCATTATATAGGAGTCAATTACTAATCATGATCTATGTAAATAGATTGTGGCAAGACGACCAAAATGTAACAAAACTGTCGTATTTGCAGTGAGAGTATGCATTAAATTTGTGTAAGTGGTAATTGTAATTTAATTTTTTGGTTTCAGACCAGCGAGACAAGGTACAATGTTTGCTAACTTTCTAGAATATATGTACTCTTTAGTTAGCTAACTCTTTCAACACCAGTCAACCAGAGGCATTTACTGCCATGACACCGTGTTCCCAGAGACTCTGAGGTCATAGATGAAGCCTATGTTTATGAAGGAAATTATAAGCTTGTAAACCGTTATTGCTACTACATCCCATACACCATTTAAAAGATCTAATCCTACTGTTGATAAATATGAAGTTTATTTTTATAATATTATTCAAATAATACAACTACAACTTAAATAAAATTATTTTTGAATGAAAATGCAAGCTTACAATTATAACGTCCAGATATCCCACGAAAGAAGCAAAAACTATGGCGATTTTTTTCCATTTGTGACATGTCATAACAAGCCCGTGCCTTTTTCTTTTATATTTTCATTTTTACGTCATCAGAAAATTATTATAAAAAGATTTCTTAAATAATATGTATGGTCGCCTATTTCCCGATATCAGTGGCTTTCCGCTCGGTAACATGACATAACAACGGAAAATACCTCCGTTTTCGAAGCTTCGTATGAATAACAGCGTAGGCGAATCGTTTGATGTCGGGTATCGTTCGAAAGCTCTGAACATCAACAACATCATTGAACCCTTGCCGAGAGTATTTTCACAGTTGTAAGAAGCGATTTTATTGGATAAAAATTGGTTTCTAATTACGCTTTTTCGCTACAATCTGCTATAAGGGTCGTGATTGGTCAAAATCAGACACGTGACCTAAGGCAGCCAATCATATTACGGCAATGGATACCGTCCTCGTAAACGAAAACTTTTAGATTTAGACGAAAGTTTTGGGTAAAATAATGCTATATTTGAACATATTAAGCAAGAAATCGCTACCTATACGTAAATTATGGAACTTATTGGACGTATCGTGCTAGGTTATGACCTGTGACAAAAATGCTTCATATATATATTTTCGCATTAAACATCGTGTCCGAGCGTGAAGATTGAGGCGCCGAGAGCTGAGATGTCACTTGACTTACATTACATGATCGCACAAAAAGATGGAAATAGTAATTTTATATGTACGTTTGACAACTTTTATGAATGTTGTTGTTGATTTTATTCATTAGTTTATTCAATTTATTTAATGAATTCCTCGAAACATCTTTACTTTGCTCTTTGACAATGTTATTGTGGACCCGCTGTCGAAGCATGTGTCCGAGAATCGTTGTTTTGAATAACATTGCGAAAAATACTTTATAATTTTAATTCTGCTGATAATATATGATAAATTGAAATTTAATAAGGGTTTTCAGACATTGTGAAATGTGAAAGATTTAATATATGAATCATAAGTCAGGTAGGTTCCTAAAATTATGCCTCATTTTGACGTGACTACTGCCTGGCCGATTAATCGGCCTCCGGTGTCTGGGGACTCATAACGTTGTGGCCGCTTAAGCGGCCTTCGGTGTTGAATGGGTTTTAATGTGAAAATGAAATTCAGTACATCATTTCTTCTCTCTTTGAATCCGAACATAACGGTTTCTGCGTTTAATTTCAAATGGGTGTCTTGTTTCATTTTCAATCCATTCTAGTAGATCTTGCCACAGCTTTTTGACATGTTTGCATTCATATAATAACTGAATGATAGATTCTATTTCAACATCGCAACATGTACAAAGTGGTGATTCTATTAGTTTGTATTTATATAAATCTTTATTGGTTGTAAGGATCCTATGGAGAATACGGTATTGAAGCCACCTGTGCCTAGCACTATATCATGCTTGAAATGGCATAAAATTATGCGTCTTCCATAGATTAAGAGTGATATTTATGTTCAATTCTTTTTCCCACTTACTTTGATAAAGCAGTTTTTGGTGTATAGCTTCCTTGTGAAGAACCCTGTTGTAAAATATGCTACATCCTTTCTTAGCTTTGAGTAGTATTTCCAAATTAGGAGGAAGAAAAGGTAAATCTTTCTGAATATTAATTTAGAACGAACTCTGTTTTGAATATGTTTTCAATGAAGATAATAATCCTGTACATTCAAGGAAATTTGTTTTAACCCCATACAGTTCTACGAATTCTTTATAAGAAAGAAATGTATTGTCATCTTTTAGGAAATCATTTATAAATTTTACATTTGACTGTAGGTAGTGGTCATATACTACTGGTTTCCTCCCAATTGTTATCTTATCATTTGCCCATATGTACTGTCTGCTGAGATGGTCATTATCATATTTACTTTGTCCTTGTAATTCAGACCAGGCTTCAAATACGTCTTTCCAGAATGGGCTTATGAGTTTTGGAATATAATGTGTCTTCAGATACAATGGTCCCATTTCTATGGGGTTTAGTTTGCTCACTGGTTGTGAAGTATATAAAAGATTATTTAATTTTGAGTCAATCTTCTGATCCATGATATTTTCTGGGACTTAATTGTTTCAAGTATAGCTGGTACTTTTAGACCACCTTCTTGGTATGTTTTTTGTTATGAGACATCGTTTATTCTATCAGGTTTACCTTTCCAAATAAAGGAGAAACATTTCTTTTGAAGGCTCACTATCATTTCTAATTGAGGGTTTGCTAGCAAGATGAAAAGATGATTAAGTGTTGGTAAAATCCAGCTCTTTAGAATAGTTGTTCTTCCTAAAGGTGTAAGGTCTCTCAGAGTCCACATTTTCATTACTTTGTCAATTTGTAAAATTTTATCTTTATAATACTTTTCCACTATTTCTGCTTTATTATGTTGAAATAGAATGCCTAAGAGTACAAATGGCTTTCGAGTCCAGTCAAGGTTGTATTCTCTGCAGTATTGCAGAGAAGGATGTGTATGTTTCAAGTACTTGTAATGTCTCCCTAAATGAGCGCTCAGACCCGTCTAAAATTATAGTTGTATCATGGTCAAATTGAGTTAGTAGGTATTCTGGGGCGGTGGGGTAGCCTAGTGGTTAAAGCGTTGGCTCGTCACGCCAAAGACCCGGGGTTCGATTCCCCACATGGGCACAAAGTGTTAAGCCCATTTCTGGTGTCCCCCGCCATGATATTGCTGGAATATTGCTAAAAGCGTCGTAAAACTAAACTCAGTCAGTCAGTCAGTAGTAGGTATTCTAAATCAATCATCGTTATTCCTTTTATCTTTTTGTTTTGTCGTAACATCTGGGCCAGGATTTCTGCTACTATGGTTTTACAATATATTTTCCCACTCTAACTCAGAGAGAACACATTCCTCCCACTCCTCTTTAAACTTAAGGTATCACATGCATTCAAATTAAATTAATAACACCTTGCACCTTTCTTAACTGACAGCTGTTCCCTGACAACAGGATTATCATCAAGTTGGACAAAAGATCTTCCTGGGTAACCTCTGTTCTATTGAGGACTGAGGGGACAGGCGGCAAAAATCTAGACAGGCATTATCTCCTTCTTTCTATCAATGAACCACGTGGACATCGACTTAGAGGCAACACAAGCAAATGGACTGAGGGATATCCCCATCTGCAATTGTGTTGAGACAGGACTGAGGGGGCGTTTAATGGCTAGCTTGGCAGACAGGACTGGCGGAGACGCCATTGATAGAGGCATTACAGGACTGAGGGCTGTCTAGAAGAACGTTTAGCAATGCTCAGACAGGACTGTTCTGGTTTTCAACTAAGCATGACAGGACTGGCCTTGACAGGGAACGAATGAGTCACTTTTGAGGAACGGGAACAACTCGAGGCAGTGGACTGAGGGGGAATTGAGCAGAGGCAGTCTCTGAGGACAGCAAGAGGACAGGACTGAGGGACAAGTCTAGAGGCAGAGAACTGAGAGGTTATGGCAGACAGGACTGAAGGACGGAACAGGAGGCAACAGGACTGTGGGAAACAAATGCCTGACAGGACTGAGGGGCATCAAGTTGGACAAAGATGTGGGAGTTTACTTATTGAGGACTGAGGGGACAGGAACAACTAGAGGCAGACAGGACTGAGGGGACGGGAACAACTAGAGGCAGACAGGACTGAGGGGACGGGAACAACTAGAGGCAGACAGGACTGAGGGGACGGGAGCGACTAGAGGCAGGCAGGAATGAGGGGACGAGAACAACTAGAGGCAGACAGGACTGAGGGGACGGGAACAACTAGAGGCAGACAGGACTGAGGGGACGGGAACAACT